GGAGGGGTGGGTGGGTGGATGGGGGGAGGCTCCTCGGGATGATGATGGCGTCCCAGTGCACGGAGCAAGCCGTGCAGGAGTTCCTGATGGAGAGAGGAGGGAGGGTCCAACAGATGGAGCTGATTGATCATTTCCTATCAATCTGGGGGAAGAATGACCAGTCTAAGGAAGGCGTGGAGCGTGAGATGCTGACCCGCATCGTGGACAACGTGGGATTCGTGAAGGTGGAAAACGGCGTGACATTTGTGTGTTTGAAAGCTGAAGGCAGCGAGGTGTCGGTGATGCGTACGGACACGGACGCTGAGTGCAACGGTAATATCCAGGAGACAGTGGACGACAACAACTATGTGAACGGCAACCCTGACAACGGAGACCAAACAGGTGAGGGATGCGCACTTTTGTGTTGATTTGTTTATTATATGCGAGTGTGTGGGGATTAATCTGTTTAATTATTTTACACATATGTAAATATGTCTTTTTTTGTGTCTAACCTATGATGTATGCATATTGTGTAATCAGTAACGTTATGTCTTCTTGTTTGCTTACTTGCTCACATTGTATTATCTCGCATTGGTCCTCTGAATAGCCACCACAAACATCATTTTTTGCCCATTGTTTAGGCAGCCAATACCTACTATACTGGCAAAAAATGTCAAAATCCTCTGATCTGTACTCTTTTTTTATTGCCTTTTTCTTGCCAAAAATCACAAAAAGTCTATGATAAGTCAGGATATTTATAACACAAAGAGGGATCAGAAAACTAACCTTGTGCATACCTGTGGGGAGTACAATGGAAATGTTGTTTTGGAGTCAGTCAGGTTAAGATTATGCCATAGACAACTCCATCATGCAATGTCAGAGCTGGATGGCAATGACAACAAAAAAAACAAACATGTCCAATGTTTCCACAGGAGCATCCAGCTCATTGGCTGTCAGTCTGGACAATGACAAACAGTCAAATGGCAACGGGCAACCTGCAGACCCCTCCCCGAATAATAAGACCAACACAGCAGCTCCTACCTCCAGTGGAGGAGGGGAGGTGAAGCTGAGGGAGAGGAGGAGGCGCGAGTCGGCCCCGGTGATCGGGGTGCCAGATCTGGACCAGGCTCACCCTGCAGGGTTGCACAGCCAGCAGGTGAGAGGGGCACGCAGGGTATCCAAAGGGTCCCAGCGGGCCATGCTGATCAGCTGCCTATCTGAGGACAGCGCCTTGGAAGGGCTGGACCCTATTGGAGATATCAACACACCCAAGGGAAGTCGCAGGAACTTCATAGAGCTGATGATGAGCAGTTCTCCTCAGGTAGGATACTGTGTTTCCCTGGCATGAAAACAAACTTCCAAGTTATGATTAGTCATAATTTGATTTGTGTCGCAGCACCACAAAGCTCTCTACAGGGTAGTAACAAATAACTGATTCAGATATACCATTAAAATGCTGCTGCGCTGCTTTTCATTGTTTCAGACTTTGAACCATGTCATACTTTTGGCCACACCTAAACCAGGGATGTCACAGCAGGTGCTTCACCTTTGGGCGTGCTCCAAAACCTTGAATGACACATAGTTGCCAATTGATGAAATTAAGCAGGTTCTCCGGGCTTTGTGGCTGTGTTACTGTGTCGCAGCTTGATGGACGACGCCATTTGGTTTATGAGCAAAAATGCAATATTCATGAAGTGTGACTCCACAGCATCTGTCTTGTGTAATTGATATATGAAACAGTGATGTAATCTAGCTTGCCTTTTCTCTGAAGCACGTTGACTTATGACCTCCTTTTGGTCATCGGCATAAGGCAACAATCGACTAAATTGACAGTTTCAAAATTGATCTGTTTACTATTACAGACGTCTTTATGCAATTATCTGTTTGATATTTTAATGTGTAGAACGGTGGTGTTTATTATCCTGATATCTGGCCTACTTTTGTTTAGCCAGTCTTGTTCTTTAAATGTTGAAGATTTTAGCAGGGCAAAAACTTGTTTAAAAGACATCTTTATATCACCATTAAGCATCCCACAGCGGCACAAAGCTAAACAGCTGCTGTATCAAATGGTGTGTGACACAAAACACTTGTAGCTACTATGTAAACGTTCTTCCCTTTGCAGGTTCGGAGGTCTCTGATCAACCGCGGCTCACGCCTCCGGGACTCAGTGAAGAGCGATGGAGATTCGACATCGCTCCTCTCCTCAGCCACTGATGAGGACTGCGCCTCAGTGACCCTGGACCCACTGGAGCACGAGTGGATGCTGTGCGCCTCAGATGGCCTGTGGGAAAGCCTGCAGCCCCTGCTCGCTGTGGAGCCTTGCCTAGTGGCCAAGAGAGACTTTGTGACGGGCTTTACGTGCCTCCACTGGGCGGCTAAGCAGGGCAAAGCTGAGCTTCTCTCCCAGCTGCTGGTCTTTGCCAAGGAGAACGCTATACCTGTGAATGTAAATGTGAGATCAAGCGCTGGATACACACCGCTACACCTGGCAGCTATGCACGGACACACACAGGTGGGTTGCATGGTGGTGGTAGTGTGTTGTCATGTGTTACACCTGCTCAGTGAAGCAGCAGATCATTGCATACACAGAATCATTAAAGTTCCTCTTCAAAACAGAGTTAATGATCTAGAAAAAGATCGTTTGTATCAACAGTTTTTGTTGAGAAGATCCTGTGTGTTGTCAGTTATAGTCATGACCCACATCTTCTTTCACTCGCTGTTCATTTAATTCAAAATACAATCCATTGAGAGTGTGTTTCAAATGACAATCATCATTATCTGCCAAGAAATGGCTCTCTGAATGGGCTGTTTTGGGATGCATTTTGTGTCTACTGTATGCTTTTAGTTCCAAAAAAACAATGGGAAGATTTATCTAGAAACTCTGTCCAATGATAGTCCTCGTGGGGATTCAACAGTGATCAATGTGCAAGCTTCACTCTTGTCATAGGAAAAGATATTAAAACGTTTTCTTAATATTTACATTTATAAAGGAAAACTTGTCCCTTTTGGACTTAATAAAAAAGAAATACTAGCAAGGGATCACATAACATAACAATTTTCTAGAAAGGTAAATGGAGTTTTAATAGAAAATTAGAGAAATCCTTATCTCCAATAAGTCACCAGTAAATTTAATTAAATAAATGACAGGTAATAAGATGCCTGTACTGTGTGTATTTAATTTGCTGTGATTGACAGGTGGTTCGTGTGTTGCTGTCAGACTGGGAGGCAGACCCTGAGGCTCGAGATTACAGCGGGAGGCGAGCCATCCAGTACCTGTCCCCCCCGCTGGCCGCTGACCTGCAGGAGGAGGGGGTGGTCCTCTCACCGGGAGCTGAGTCAGACAACGAAAACACTAACAGCAGCAGCGGTGGAGGGCGCGGATGGCGGTTTCCCAGAGTCCTCACGGGCAATCTGAACCCGCTGCGGCTCTTGAACCCGCCCTCAGAGGCAGCAGAGGAAGCGGTCGCGACTGGAAGGACCAAGGGGGGAATCCAGAGGAAGTCATCCCTGAGCCGGCTGAACGCCCGGCTGCACAGAGGACGCCACCGAGCCCAGATCATTCACAGCGCTTCCTTCAGGGACCCGGGGGAAGTGGGAAGAGGAGAGGAGCTCCCCAGCAGCCCTCTCCGAACCCGACCACTGTCCAACCTGTTTGGATGAAGTTACACAACTCTGAACCAGCGATGTAGAGATATAAACCAGTCTGACATCTTTTGATTTACAAAATACAGTTTACTCACCTTTATAAGCTGTCAGGTCAGACATTTTTATGACCAAATTCAGAGTATACATCCTAATATATCACGTCAGGCTGATTTAAAAAGTTTTATTAAATAGGATTTTAAATTAATAAATGACAAATGTTTGTTTGTCTAAAAATCTAACTTATTTTTGCTCCTCTTGCAGTTGTTAGGCTTATGTTGATCACTGGGGATAGGTCACAGTTCATGTAGCATTTTATTTGACACAGCAATTCACTGAGTTAAAACTGAACTTCTGTTCTGTGAATTGCTCTTTACTTTTGTTTTCTACAATGTTTTTAGGCTCTGTTTCAGAGCAGATAGCAAACATTACACCAGGTGTTTTTTTAGTTTTAATACTTTACACTAGAACAATGTTTACACAAATGCAAAAGCAACAACCAGGATTGTATGAGAACTTTAGTTTCGACTCACAGCGGTGAGGGATTTGAAAATACCGTTTAGGTTTGATTCCACACAGTTATCCCAAATTTTGTTTTTGTTTGCAGAGTAAAGTAATATATTCATAGAACTAATTTTCTACATTTCAACCTCCTTTGACTGGATGGTGCTGACGTTTTTTTTTGTTTTTTTTTTGTAAATTTCTCTAATGTGAATGAATCTTTTTATTTTTCAGTATCAGATTTTAGTATTCAAACTGTTATAACCACAGAACTCTTGTATGTCCAAACAACCATGTACAGATGTCCTGTTTGCACTTGTCACTTTGAAGATAGTTTGTGATTATGGGAGAAAACAGCTAGGTAGGGTGCGGGGGGCTCCGGGCTGTCATGGCTTTAGTTAGATCCGAGTATCTTTATAAAGACTGATACACAGTTACACAGTAGGACTGTTTCACACGGTGGAAGCACATGGAGCACTGATGTTGTTTATGTGAGTTTTTCTGCTGACTATAATGTACCTCAAATCCTCTGAGTCTGGTTCACTCAGTTTTACATTTCTTCATGGACCTCTTAATAGCAGACTGCAGTGTCTTCATCAGGCAGAATTGGCTCATGTCGAAGTCTCATTTAAGTTTTAGTTAAACAGAGTAGCACTGATTTGTATTACAGTAAAAATGCAATCAAACAAACTGATTCATATCCACCATATCAGTCTGGACCAGATTTTATACTTGCCCTTTATTGGCCTCTTGTATTGATCTAACCTTGCATGTACACAATCATTTGTTCATTAATTATGTCATTATGTGAATAGTAAAGAGTCTAGACCAGTATATGCTGTATCTGAGGAGCACATTGACTTTTTGACTGTTTTCCCAAATATGTGAACCTTACTTATACCTGACTATTGGATCAATGACACATTTTAAATTTCATGAATGTTCCTTTAGTACTTTGTAGCATTTGTACTCAAATCATAGGGCTTCATGTAATTGACTCTTGATGTAGAAATGTATTGTACAAACCTACCTTGGGGAAATGTAAATGCTGTGCACTGTTAATTTTTATGTCTGTAAGTCATTGTTTACTGTGATGTTATGATGTGAATACACTGTTACTGAGCCAGCGTCGTCTTTCTCTTCATGTCTCATCCTTGAATGCGAAATAAAGCAGTTACAGTTTGCATAAAACTAAAGTCAGTGCTCGGTTAGAGTATGCTACTAACAGCTACAACCATCCAAGCAAACAAATGAACAGACTTTGTAGGAACATGGAATCCGTAGTAAGGATTCAACACATGATGGCCGGTTGTCATGACGTATACAGAGTCAAATTCAACCACAAAGGACCAAAGCTTTAAATGAGGCAGGATATTTTGTTTGCCAGTTCTGCTGACACCAAGTGATTGTCCTTGTCTGGTGGTGCTGAATAATTGATGATCGGATAACCCCCTCTGCTAGCTTTGGCCCAGCATTTACAGTATATCCACAGCTTCCTGTCCACAAGCTGCCCGTGTAACACTGCACCCAATATATTCACAGCCAGTCCTAATTCTGCACCTGTTGGGTGGGTGTGTGTGTGTGGTTGTTGTGTGTGTGTGTGTGTGCGTGCTTCTATTGTTACAAAGATGAAACGTCCTCAGAAGATGAATGAAATTCTGAGTAATCTGGACTGACCTTTAAATCTATACTGGTCTATTGGTTTAGGATGTAAAACACAGAATTTTATACAAATTCACAACAATTTAAACTGCACATAAGGTTTCATCAGTATACTACATATTATAAAAGGGGACAGAGGACAAATAGTTTGTATTCTTTCTGTTTTGCATATAGTTGAGCCTGTTATCCCCAGCATATCACTGAGGATAAGAGGCAGAAATGTTATGGAGTTAAGGTACATTTCCAGTCAATGAACTCTGAACTGCGGACTGGACAGATATCCGAGGCTCTGACAGTCATGTGGCACCAATGTTCTTCTGGCTCCCTGTTTGGATCCTCCACTTTATGTTTACCAGAACAAATCAATTACATAAAAGCAGGATCACATGTATACGGCTATTAAACTCACAATATAGATGCTCTTGAGTTAAAGTCGGCTCTTCTGATGATGTTTTTCTGAACTCTGTTATTGTTTCATCTAGTAGTCAAACAAGATTTATAGAGGTCACTAAAGGGACGAGCTTTTTCCTGGGCCAGTAGACTCCAGAGTCCATTGCCTTAGGCAGCCTATCTGTTAGATGACTGCTGATCGGGACAGAGTAGAGAGGCTGTCTGACTGCAGCTACTGACCTACATACAAAGTGAAGGGAGTAATTCCTATTATGTAAATTCCTCTGCCATCTTTTCAGGGAAACTGTGCCAACTTTTTTGCCTGGGGCCTCCGCTCTTGGACTAATCCATGTCCAATCCCCATCTCTCACTCTCTCCCCACAGTTACCACAGTGATGATGACATCCGTACAAAGCCTAGCTTGAGACTAACAGTGCCAGAAATAGCCATCAAGCTTGTATCAGCTATGCACTCTCCCAAAAAAGCCATCAAGCTAGTAACAAATGTGCACTGTCAACAGGATGTTTGGCCGTTTCAAGACATACAATGCATATAAAGAGTATCCCGCCTCCAGAGGATTTCATGTTTTACAACACTGAATAAAAGTGGCTTTACTGGGACCTTTTTGAAGCTAATCGACAGACAAGACTCATTAATGTCAAAGTGAAAACAGATTTCTACAAAGGGATCTACATTAATTATAAATACAAAACAGAACAGTTCATTTGCTGAAACAAATGTTTTTATACTGAAATCGAAATTTTTACCCCTTGACTACACAGAGATGATCTCAATTTAACTGATCATGTAACTCTAAAACCAGTGGTGGAAGAAGTATTCAGATCTTTTACTTAAAGTAGTAAAAGTAGCAACATAAATACTGTTACAAATAAAAGTACTGCATTCAAACGGTTACTTGAGTTAAAGTACAAAAGTATGAACAATAAAATATACTTAGTATATAAGTATGAAAAGTAAAAGGGACTGGGTTACATTAAAAATGTAATCCGATACAATTATTAATTGTAAGAAATGTAGTCACTCTAAAAGGACTTACAGTTACCTTTTTTGTATCCTGATTACATAACTCAGTTACATTAATCTGTTACTCCCCAGGCCTGTGCAGCTGGTAATGCTGGAGCTAATTTAAAACACTTTGTGTACTGCTGAGTTTTATAATGTATAACAATTTGTATAGTATATATTTCGTATTAAATGTACTTAGTAACAAGTAAGCATTTAAATAAATGGAGTGGAGTAAAAAGAAAATACAATACTTTCCTCCAAAAGACATAAAATAGCATAAAATGTACCTGATGTACTGCTTGACCTGATGCAATACTTCTAACTACTCCCCCCACTGTTTATAACCAGTTGGATTAATCAGATAGACATCATATTATTAATAAAAACCTTTCTTGTCATACTCTTATACCATGTTTATTAAAACACCCAGATCTCACATCTTCCACACGGTGTCGCAGTTCTGAAACAACCCCAGTGTAGTTTATCTTGTTGCTGCTCCACGTTGTTTCTTCTGTAAGGTCAAAGTTTACTCCATGCGGAAGTGGCAGGCAGTTTGGGCATTTTTTTTTTCCATGCAGTATTGATGCCTCTCCATAAATCAATACAACACATTTCTTGATCTTTCCACTCTCAGGAGACTAACAGATGTTAGGTAGGTGGTGTTAAAAACAAATCTTCATGGTAACTCACTAACAACGTTATGTTGTAAAAACACTTTGTTTAAAAGCTAACAGCGACAGCTAACTTTAAATAACATTAACGGGGTTTTTTTTGTTATTGACTCAAATAGTTTTCCGCGTATTTGCTAACATTTTGTCCAGCATGGTCTATAATAATATTTTTTATTATAATTGAACTACCTTCACGGTCTAACGCTAGCCGTAGCTCCATTTTAGCTACTAGTAGCTGGCAACGTGAAATGCTCGTTAGCAGGTTTGATGGCGTTTTGTTTTCATGTGGTTAATACAAACAAACAACTCCCAGCTTGACCTTTTAATGAAATGAGTCGTTATTTAACAGAGACAGCATTCACACATGGCGGTGTTCGCACTAACGATGCGGTAAACGTAACGTTGTGCCGTCAGTGCTCGCTGTTAGCTCACGTTAGCTCTGTAACTCAAACAATGTCCGAGTGCTTTTACACATCTGGCGGTAGTTGTCCGCCTTTAGAGGATGTTAACATCTGTGTGAAGTAGAATAACAGGCGTCAGTTAAGTTGGAAGTTTCTGATTTAGTTGTAAATGTGAAAGGTTGCAGTGAATGGAGTTTTAATTGTTTTTGGATGTGGTTAATCAATGGTGCAACAACATTACACTTTTAGGCTGTAGAATAGAGTTTTGGATTGTTTTCATTGTATTTTAAAGTGAAAGCACTCAGCTTACAGACACTAACAGTCTTTCATGTCCCAACCTTCCTGCAGCTTCCCCTCCTGTCTGCAACAATGACCACCATTGTCCATGATACTACAGAGGCGCTGTGCCTTTCCGCTGAGTACAACCTGTACCTCAAGCCCATTGCCAAAATGACCGTCAGTGTGGCTCTTCCCCAGCTCAAGCTGCCAGGCAAGAGCATCTCCAACTGGGAGGTAATGGAGAGAGTAAAGGCCATGGTAGCTCCAGAGCAGTTTTCAGCCCTGCGAATCTCCAAGAGCACCATGGATTTCATCCGCTTTGAGGGGGAGGTGGAAAACAAAACGGTGGTCAAGAGCCTGCTGGGCCGTCTGGATGGGAAGAGCATCAAGCTTAGTGGATTTACGGATGTACTGAAGGTAAGACCGATACTGCAGTGGACCACAAGTATTAGAAAACACCTCTCGCTTCACAAAAAGGCTCCAAAAGTACCATAAAGTTGAATCAATACCTCTCTAAAACCGTTTAAAACCTTATTAAAAACGTGATTTATTGCATGGCTGTTGTATTAGACTGTATTTGATTCAGTTGCACCTCTTTCCTCAGGTTCGTGCTGTAGAGAATAAGGTAGACTTCCCTACACGTCACGACTGGGACTCCTTCTTCCGTGACGCCAAGGACATGAATGAGACTGTGCCCGGAGAGAGGCCTGACACCATCCACCTGGAGGGACTTCCTTGCCGCTGGTTCAGCCAGAAGGACAGCCAGTTCCCAGACCGGCCCTCCGAAGAGGTCCTCATTGCAGTCTTCCAGACATTTGGCAAGGTGGTACATATTTCTGTTTCAGCTTTTCTTTATTGAACTGGAAACATACCTGAACACAAGATTCACAGTATTGTATTTGTTAGTTTGGAATTAGGTACAGTCTCACTAGGCTCTAAGACACAACTTCCTAATATTTGTTTGTTTATTAAGCTTAGACAAGGCTGCAAGTACAGTGTATCAGTACAAATGTTGTAATTACAATGGACTAAGCTCTGATTCTTACTGTAAGTGACATAATGAGGGTCACTGCTATGTAGAGCAATGTAATGCAATGTAGGTCAATTGTTGATAATATACTTAATTTCACTCAATCTGAGAACACTTGCACACACACCCAGCTTTAAAATAAAAAACCCCACCAAAAGTCACTTATGTTATATTTTCACAGAAAGAAATTGAGCCCAAAATAACAGTGTATTTGTGCCCCCCTTTTTCACTGTAGGTACGAAATGTTGACATCCCCATGCTGGACCCATACCGAGAGGAGATGCTGGACAAGAACTTCAACACATTCAGTTTTGGGGGTCATCTTAACTTTGAGGCTTATGTCCAGTACCAAGAGTACTGCGGCTTCACCAAGGCAATGGACACTCTGCGCAGCATGAAGCTGATGTTGAAAGGAGACGATGGAAAGGCAGTGGCCTGCAACATCAAGGTACTGCAGACTCCCATGGTTGTAAAGTACTACATTATCCATTTTAATGGTTATAGCAAGAACTTAATCAGGGGTAATTATTTATTCGGCTGAAATTCTGAAATATTTCCTTATGTAAGGCAAATGGTGAACCCAGCTTTTTGTTTCTTTCTTCTTTGCCATACACATACACACAATTCACTGTGCAGTGCAGAAGAAAAGAGAGTGGAGTCATATTTGTAAGTAGGTTACTGAAAAACCTAAATTAATTTCAAATAAAATCCTGTGTTGTTTGCCAATACAGATTGTAACATTTAGGAGGATCTATTGACAGAAATGGAGTATAATATTTATAAGTATGTTTTAATTCATGTGTAATCACCTAAAAATAAGAATACCAAGCTAATATCAGACTAAGTTGTGTTTTCATTACCTTAGAATCAGCTGTTTATATCTGACTTTAGATAGGGCCTATCATGAGTTTCAAAGCCACCGTAGTTTCACCGCTAACTGCCACTGAATCCTACACACCGGTTCTTTAAATCACGATTGTGAAGACAGCTCTGAAAGGATTGTCCCTGACTTTCACAGTTGATAAGCTCACAAACTCTTGGATTTATTTCTCAAACTGGCTTTCCTGAGTTATATTTAAGTTTCTCCCCTGTACCTGCATCCACACGCCTCCACCAATGCAGACCATTGCAGTTCTTGTACACGTTATTTTTGGTTTGATTGTCCACTGAGGGCCCATCATGCGTCTGTTTTGTGTGTGAAGCCACCCCTGAATTTGCAACCGCTGTTGTGATGTGGCAGATTTTAGCAATTAGATTCTGTTGTTCAGAGTCACATAGCAGCTTTAGGACCTTTTAGTGGAATGAGAATTAAAGCTGTGTCATCATTATTTCCAAGGTAATGAGGGTTGGGGAGAGCCAGGTCTCTTAATCCACAGAATAAAGCTTTACTGTGAAATCTAAATTAAAGTAGCAGAAGCAAAGGAGGGTTTATATAAAAGAAGAAAGAAATGAGGAACAAATTAAGATATTGTAAGCTTGCTCTGTTGTTAAATATTATAAAGAGAAGGCATTTTATAATCCCACCAGCTCTTGCCTGAATATGAAGGGTTTTATTTTGTATTTTGAAAATTATGACCTTCATACACAGGTTGTGTTAGACTTTATCGTTGTCTGTCTTTCTGACAGGTAGGGTCAGAAAAATCATAATCTAAGACCCATCATTTTCATTTTTTATGAGACATATACTGTAATTAATATCATTTTAAAATAATGCAAGCCAATCACGATGACATTTAATAAACAGAGTTTACAGATTATGCATTTATAAGGGCACACCATACGAAGCAGATGACTGATTTTTACCTCCTTCCTGCCACATGCTTCCCATGCTTCCCCTGTAACATTAGCTGCCGCTGCTGTTCACTCTTGCTTTACTTGGACCATGTTGGTAAAATATCCACCGTATCTGTGTCAGAGAGCGTCTAGCTTAATGTCACTAGACTGTACAGACGGTGTCCTGGTACCCTGGTAGCTACGGTACTGCAGAAAAGCAAGTACTGTCCCACTTTCAAAAGTTTGTTGGTACCGAAGTATTTGTTCTCGTGACATCCCTAATGTAAACCATGAAACTGTTTTTTTTATAAGCCATTTATCTGTGTTTTCCGCAGGTGGCCTTTGACACCAGCAAGCACCTGAGTGAGTCAGCCCTGAAGAGGAGGACCCTGGAGAGGCTGAAGTTACAGGAGCTGGAGAGGCAGAGAGAGGAGCAGAAACGACGGGAGAAGGAAGAGGAGGAGCGTCGTAAGGAGGAGGAGAGGTATGATGGATTTCAAAAGAGAAATGGAAAACTGGTTTATAATGTACGAGGACTCCAGACTATTCATATAACTCTGTGAATCAGGGCAGCACAGTAAAGAAAGGAGCTGAAAATAATATAGTTGAAAATAGGTAAAGATATGAATGTTTCACCTGTCCATGAAGTTTAACCACCTTTATATTTATATCTATCTCCAACCTCCAACTTGAGGTTTTAACCTTGAAAAGAAACCTATTAATAAACATCTGCAGGGTAGATGTATGCTGTGCTCATACTTTTATGCTTTTTTTGAAAAATTGAGTTTCACTAAAAGTTGAATACAGAATGATACTTAACCTCTGAGAAGGACACTCTGTGGTTTTCTGCATTCTTCTGAACCAAGTAATATCCAACTGTAAAGTTAAAAATACAACAACCAAAAAGTTCAGCACCACCAGACAAGAAAAAGTTACCTTTCTCTCATCTAAACAACTAAATATGAGGGACAACAATTCATTTTCAGTATAATATTGAGTGGGTGTCAACAGAAGTGATCATTTATGCTTAGTTAATTTAGTTTTGCACTCACTGTACTAAAAAATCAGTCAATTGACCCATACATAACAGATACTCACAGAGGACAATCTACCTTTCATTCAGGAAACAGAAGGAGCAGGAAGAGGAGGAGAAGGAGAGAAGAAAGGAAGAGAGGCTACGAAAGCGAGAGCAGAAGTTGCGGGAGAGAGAGGAGAGGAGAAACCTGAAGAAGGTGAGGCGGCAGCAGGAAGAGGAGCAAAAGAAGCTGCAGATGAAGATTGCCATGGAGGAAAGGAGGCTGCTGCTGGCTCAGCGCAACCTGGAATCAATACGCCTCATTGCTGAGCTGCTGGCCAGAGCCAAGGTACGCCATGTACACAAAGATATACAATACACCTCTTAATGGGTATACACACACATCCATTTACTATGTATTCACTTTTGATTTTAATACCAATACTGAGGTAAATATCTAAAATTAGATAATTGAAAGACAAACAGGGTGTTGTTTCATATTGGCTGAGGTAGTCTAAACTCAGTTTGTATTTTCCTTTTTTTTTTTATATAAGTGTTTCTCTTATCGTTCCCATCATTATTTCCTCCTTCTCTCCAGGCCCTGAAGCAGCAGCAGCAGGAGAAAGAGAGGGCAGAACGGGAGGAACTGGAAAGGCAGGAGCAGTCTCGGCAGAAGGAGGAACTAGCTCGTCTTCAGCAGCTGGAGGCCTGCCGACGCAAGCAGGAGGAGGAGCTCCGGAGGGTGGAGGTGGAGAAGGAACGTGCATTGGAGCTCCAGCGCCGAGAGAAGGAGTTAAGGGAGAAACTCCTTTGCAACTTGTTGAAGAAGAGCAGCGGAAAAACCACAAGACCTTCAGGCACGCAGGACCAGGCTGACCCTGAAACCAGTGAGGAGTCCTCTGATCCTGGTGGCACTGATGTGATGTTGAGGGTCCTGGGCCGGGTGAACGGAGTGAAGGCGGTTGAGAGCAAAGAGAAGCAGGTGTCCAAATCTAGTGTGCACTCCCAAGTTTTGGGGAAAAACAGAGCAGGAGAAGAGAGGAGGGGAGGGGAGGACAGGAAGAAAGACCGGGAGGGAAGGAAGGACGAGGTGGTGAGGAGCAGGCACAGCAGGGAAGGAGCCAAGGATGGGGAGCACTCCCACAGAGAGAGGAGCTCCTATAGCCAGGGGAGGAGGAGGCGCTCCAACAGCTACAGCAAGAGGAGAAGGAGCTCTAGCCACCGTAGGAGGAGCTCCAGTCGTCATAAGAGGAGCAGCAGTCACCACGGCAGCAGGAGGCGCAGCCACAGCCATTACAGTAGGAGCACAAGCTCCAGTCGGGACAGGAGCCGGAGCAGCAGTGGGAGGAGTTACAGCAGAGGGAGGAGCCGCAGGCATAGTCGCCACAGACACAGCAGAGGCAGCTCCAGGAGCAGCAACAAAAGTAGAGACAGGAGGAGTAACAGCCATTGCAGTCGAAGATACAGGAAATACAGCAACAGCAGAGACAGGAGCCACTCCAGACGACGTTAAACTCATCACTTTGATCAGTTTATTGATTGATTTATCTCCCCCATCTGGGCTTACACCTTAAGTTCCGTGATTTTAAAAAGAAGAAAATATAAACATAGAACTAATATAAAGTAAAACCAGCACCACATAATCAACTGAAATCACACATCACACACATGTATCCTGTACACGTAGGTGGCAAGTTGTTGCAGTTGATTCTAGGGAGTTGTGTTTTTTTTCCCCTCCAGATTTTAAACTGTTGGATTCAAGCTACTTACAACTGTTCATTTGCTGAATTATACAACATACGTATTAATAATTTCATGGCATACAATACTAAACGTATTATTTGTGAAAGCCATAGCATCAACATTTAGACTTAAGTACACAAACTCTTTCTTTTCTGAAAATTCAAATAATAGGAATAAACATAATAGGGTAATACAATTAATGATAAAATTAGTGATCTGTTACATAATCATTTATAAACATTATTGGAAGTTGAAAACATTGGCTGATAAATTAGAAGCTAATATCGCAGGTCTACTGTATTTGTATATTGACACAGCAGTTTAACCCTACTGTGACCCCAAAAGCTTGCTGATGACCCTCATTCTTGTCTTTGTGCATGAATAACAGTGAACTATAGAAAGTGGCAAGAACATAATTGTGTTTGTTATTTTGATGTTGCACCAGCCTGTTCATCCACACATGTAGCCTGACTACAGTGAAATACTTTTAAGTGGACGACTGGACTAAAATGAATGGCTGCTGTTCCATTGCAAATGTGAAATTTCCACAGACTGTAAGAAACATACCTCTGTGTTTAGGATGGCCGACTGATTTCTTAGTCATGTGTTAGCTGCCTAAAATATTTCTTGGAATACTTCTTCAGTATTGGCTGTTTTGTTCATAAGCAGCTCAGAAAAACACACAACTGAACAACAGAGTTGTCGTTGAGCTCAGCCAAGCAGCAGAATCAGAGTCGCATAGTTTCACCTGACAGACTGATTCATTTTAGTTTTCTTTGAACTGCTTAGTGTTTTGAAGAAGTGGTTTGTTGAATGTGTGAGTTTTGTGAAGACTTGATGTTTAAAGTCAAAATTATGATAGCATTATGGCATATTTGAACTGACTCAGCAAAGAAGTGTGCTCCCGTGCAAGTGATAGATTTGAGACCTGTTCAATTACTTAAATAGTTTAAATGAATGCAAGTTTAGTCATTGTTTAGGAAACCAACATCTGGGATTCAAGTCAAACCAGCGCAGTACCAATTATAAATGGGATGTTAGGATCTAACTCCTGCTTTTATGTTCAATATGTAGTGCCGTATATATATTTCTTTTGCCTTATTAATTACTGTACAGACTGTTCTCTTAGCTGTATTTTAGCTTTGAGGGGGTCATAGTTATGTTGACACTGTTACATCAACATTTTTACTTGTCATGGCAAAGCCCTTTTGCTCTGTGTACTGTATGCTCATGATCTATTAGAGCATGTGTTACATGGCTAAAATAAAAATCCAAGCTGAAAACGTATTGTAAGCATTGTGTTCTTTCATTGATGATCTCACTTACAATCTTGTCACTACGACAGATTATAGTGTTAAAATAAATGTTTCTACTTGAACACTGTCAAAAATCATTCCTCTTTAAACAATATTTTATAATGTGATAACTTATATCGTTACAGAGACAACATTGTTATAAGTTATGTTATAATGTTTCAAGTTATAACGAGTATATTCTTTTAACAAGAACAGTTCTTATAACGTGATGAGTTTGTATGTGGTAATAACATGAAAAAAAAAGATCTTTAACATGAAAATATCTTGTTATATTTTTCTTGTTATGTTGTTACATCATACTGATCCTTTTTCAAAGTAAAAGTTCTTATTGTCAGTTTAAAAAAAAAAAAGCCTTCATTGGAGATGTTGGCATGATTTAATGCTGATGGAGCCATGATCTGGGCAAGTGATGTCCATTTTTATCTCTATATAATTCCTCAAAACCTTGTGTGAAGGATCAAGGTGACAATATGCCCAACTCCAGCTGCCATAGCTGTACCCTATCCGTACACCGCTGGTTTAATGAACTGTGCAGATGAATAATTAATCGTCAAACTGATTAGTGTCTGTGTAACCTCATCAAGGCGTGTGACGTGACAGTCTGTGTCATTAGGTCCGATGCGACCATTAGTCTCTCAGCGTATAGAGAAGAGAAGGCGAGCACATCTTTCATAAATCACAGCTTCACCTTCAAGGTTTGGTATTCCAGAAAGTGTCTGTCACATTTTGGGGTCATGAAAACTGTGGGAAACACGTGTGGTATGAGAATGCACTGAGTGAATCACCATCCGAGTGTGAGTGTGAGTGATAATGAACAAGGCAGCAGTGTATTGCCACAGAGTTGTTTCTTTGTCCAATGCAGACTGAGCCCCTGCTCTAATCTGGGTTATCTGGCTGTAATCAGCTTAGCCCACTGCTACTCTCACTGCTGCTGCTGCTGCTGGGTGGGCACATTCTGTAACTTTGGTCTGGTTTTGTCTTACTGCCATTCATACACACACCTGTTGAAGTGTCTCTGGAGCAAACAAACCAGCAGGCGAGTCGACTTTGCATGTAGATGAGCTTGTAGGACATTCAGGAAGTCCTGTCCAAACTGCAGCCATGGCTGAACGTCAAGAGATGGGTTTATCTGAAGGGACACGTACTGCAGACATGTACCCCAGAAAGATACTGGAGTATATGGAAGGATTCCTCATCTCCAAGGTAATATTAACATTCATGGGTCACATAAAGGGATGCACCTTTGCTTAATTCAAAGTTAAAGTTCCTGCTCTTCAGTTTGCAGGTTAGAATAGCATTCCAGTTGATAATGTAATCGCATTAAACATTTTAAAACCACAAGGATGTAATTTCTTAAGAGCTGAAACAATTAGTCAGACAATGACCGGACATCCTTTTGAAAAAACAATCTAGAAAATGATTGCAAGATTAATCAATACTGAAAATAATCTTTAATTTAACAAATATCATTTACAGAAATAAATGTGATCTTTTAATCTTTTGATCTTTTAATCTATTTGTCCATTCTTTACTAGTACATCACAGAGCAGTGGTGGACTCACTGGTGGACTCACTGTCTGAGGAGCAGGGGCACAAGCGCACAGTTGTCATGTTTTTATTGTGAAACATCTTAGTCAGGGTAAGGATTAGCAACCTGGAAGATTTTCTCCACTGGAAAGGCACCATAGAGAGCAATTTATCATGTTTTATCTATCATAGGGGCACCCATGAGGGCATTTTTTTCAAACATGGGGGCACCAGGGGGGTTCTCTAACCTTTGCTGAGCTTGACTTGGTGATTCTGAATTTGAACTTTTCTGATAAGGATTAAGTGTTCCTTTATGGGTTGAAAAAACTCTCCCCCTCTCCTAGCACAACAAACTATTTAAACCCTCTAAGATTGGCTATAAAATGCATTGATAGAAGCTGAAGACAGTGCTCATGAATAGTTAACTTATTAGTTTAGTTCTCAGAGGACAGTGTTGCTAAAAACATATGATGATCTTATAGAATATGATGCATTGCTGTAGATTAAACTACTCAACAAATTAGCCCAGCCTTAAACACAGCAGTATTATAAAAATATAATACTTATCAAAAACATCACATATAGTAGCAGAATGAGTACTTTTAATACTTTAATACTTACATACTATTACTTAAGCAAAAGATATGAATCTGTCTTCCACCACTGAAGGAGACTCAAGGAGATTAGGATTAATACATAAGAAGGTGTGAAGAGGAAATGAAAACAATCAAAAAATGTAAGGTATGAAGGGTGTGCAGAATATTAAATATTTCAGTTTTACTCTATAGATGCAGCAAATGTGAGTCACAATTTTCTTTGTCTTTTTAAGTAATTTTAATCATTTATTGTGCATGATAGTCACCCACTCAGCAGAGTGTACTGCTGACACATCATTATAGTATGAAGTATAGTAGGGTAGCATCATTATAGTGCTATGCCTGATAAGCTTAAACACATATATATAAATGCTATATGTGACTAATATATATATAATATAATCAGATAATTTAATCAGCAAACTCAAGGACATGGACTCACCGTAGAGCACTATATTCTATTCTGCTCTGGTATATTTTGCTCTACTTTGTTTCTTTTTTCTCCGTGTGTGTGTCTTTGACTCAGGTGGTTTTCTCCTCCTGCGAGCTGGGAGTATTTGATGTGTTGCTGGGTGCAGAGCGCCCCCTGTCTGCAGAGGAGATCAGTCAGGCAGTTGGAGCCAGTCTGGATGGCACACAGAGACTGCTGGCTGCCTGCACCGGCCTCCAACTCCTCAATACACATCAGGACAATGGACAAGGTCAGCACACACACACACACACACACAAACACAACTTGTCCCTCTAAATAAGTCGAGTAGTAACATTGACAGGCTGACTTTGCCCATGTTGTTGTGATTTATTGCTATGTTTTTCATGTTGCAGCTTTTATTTCCTTTTTGTCCATTTGTCATATTGTCAGACATTCGTTACATTGTCCATTGCTGCACCATCTACATGCACACCTCACCTTGTCTCTGTCCTGTCTATCTCCCACATAGACATAAAAGGTCAAACTCTGTCTTCACACCTGCAGTGACTCATTTACAGTCATCTCCTCCTCTGACTCTCCTCCTCCAACCTCTTCCACCACCTGTTTTAGTGTTGTACAGTAACACAGAGCAGGCTAGTGTCTACCTGACCCGCTCCAGTCCTATATCCCTCTACCAATCCATCCAGTACAGCTCCAGAACCATCTACCTCTGCTGGCACTACCTGACCGATGCTGTCAGGTCAGTACACTGAGCGTGGTCACATCGCCGCCTGGACACAATTTCACAGTAGAATAAGCTCATGTTGAGGGTCACCGTCCATGGAAAGCTGTAACAAATAACATTGTTTTGGATGTTCAGTGTGTTTGATACCATCACTATTACTGTTTCCCAGCATCCTTAAAACTAGAGATGCAGCTAATTATTTATTTTTCAAAATCTATTAATCTGTTGTTTGATTTTTTAAATTACACCTTTAATTGTGTATATAAAATGTCAGTAAACTGTGTGAATAGTTCCTAGCACAGTGTACCTAAGTGCAATGCTATGTGCAGCCAGAAGTCCGAAGCCGGAAGATGTTTAATGTTTAGGTCAATTACAATGCAATAAAACATTGTAAAACAGCAAACCCTTAAATTTAAGAATCTGAAACCATATATATATATATATGTATATATATATATATTTATCTTAATGGATATTCATCAAGAATGATGTATCTGATTTTTGACAAATCGGTTTCAGTACCTCTGGTGTCTATTCAAGATACATTAACCAGTTAAAAGTAAATTGCAAAAAGGATGTTGTTTACCTTTCCCTTCTACATTCATGTTACCTTTTGTAAAACTGTAACTGACAACATCGTTGTGATTTGAAAGAATTTGATAAGTTTTCTTTGCTCCCTTTTGTTGGAGGGCAACAAAAGGTGTTGTGATATCCTTGTACTATACGTTTAATATGACTGGTAAGAATCTAAGAATAATTTGCGTAAGACTATCTGTTATTGACCGAATACAATTTAAATATGTAACCAGGGGACACAAAATGCTGCAGAGGGAGGCAAACCAAAAGAGCAAGCAACAATAAACAAATGAATCGGTACCATCATTTCTCTGAAAACTAGGTCAAGGTTATGAAATGAAATGTAAATGGCACAAGTAGGATGTTATTCAAATAAATGAGCAAACTAAGAGTAGAATCATACAGAGGTGGGCTGTGAGCAGCTGTGAGAAGTGCAGGTTTGATTTATAGCCTAAGGATTTGGATTCCTGTCCTCCTTTTCTGTTTGAACAGCGTCTCAAGATGGATTTTAGTCTCATTGTAATGTCTGAGGGAGGACAGCCAGCAGCTCACAGGCAGCGTGACTGGATTCACTGTGGCTGACAAGTGAAGTCCACCTGTGAGAAACACTGAAAAAAGGTGGTAGTTAAAGGATAGAGGCATCTTGATCAAAACTACTCATCGTTTTGTGTGGAAGTGCGCACTATATATATATGTGAATTTATCTAAAAGCAATCATTAGAGCCCACATTTTGTGTAGTTATTTAGCAAATATAACAAGTGATAAATCATCAAATAAGTCACATATAATGTGGTTGTGATATATGAATGTTCTGTCTTTGTCTTGTTCTAGAGAGGGGAGAAACCAGTATGAAAAGGCTTTTGGAGTCAGTTCGAAAGACCTGTTTCAAGCTCTCTACAGGTAAGAAGCCTTTGTTATTTAAGAAACACACGCACGCATACACACGCGCACACGCACACACACTCAGACAGATCAAACACACATTTTTGCTCATTTACATTCCATCCTTGTCTCTCCGTCTTAAACCTGTCTGTCACTCTCTTCTCTCTTCCCCCTAAAAAAACAGACTTGTGGGATTTATTAGGAGGCAGAGGATGTGTGTGTGTGTGAGAGAGAGATAGAGAGAGAGA